GTGCATGTACCACTATATTCTTCTGGAGATTAAGCTTGAGCGGGGACTAGTAACCGTCTTAGACTCGAGACGGAAAGATCCCAAAAGCTATGCGGACATGACTAAAATGCTCAGCAAGTAAGTTCAATCGATCATTATCGCACCATATTGGCAACTTTTTGTTCATTTCCTGATATCTCAAGTAATAATTATTATTTTCTTTGCCTTGCAGGGTTTGGAAACAGTTCACCGCAGAAGCTCCGGGACTGCCGAAGGAGCTGCGATATACATACCCGAAAGTAAGTACTACTGGCTAGCTAGTTGCGCGCATCTCCCGTTGATTCTATAGCTATACTTTCATCCATGCCATTTATAATGCTTCATTATCAGTTTGATTGACCTCTATTTCCCATAAAGTGCTTGTGGCAGGAGGAAGGGAATGATTTCTGTGGATACTACGTGTGCGAGTTCATCCACACCGCGACTTTGAAAAACAAGCGGGGCTACTCTAAAAGACAATATGAAGTGCGTAAGCAATAATATTCACAATTTCATTTTATTACACCATCATTTCTGTTGAGTTTCATTCATATATATGTATTAATTAACCCCCTTCTTCAAATTAGACGTGGCAGATGCGGAATGAACTCCTAGAACCAGATCGCATGAAAGCAATTCAAGAGGAATTGGCGGGATTCTTTCTTGACCACGTCATTAGTAAAGCCGGAGAATACCATGTGGAAATTGATTTCAAATGCTAGGGGTTTGTAATTAAGAGATCTTATACATATTGTACATGTATGTAGCCAGTAGCGTCGGATACATGATACAAAAACTTGTTGTTCGACCAATCTCTCGGAGAAGGAGAGGTCGATCGATCACTTCTCTCGGTATGCATGACAAACTTCTGTACTGAATGGTTCTCTCGATCACTTATGTATATATAGTACATAGCGTCCAAGCATGGACATAAGAGAGGACACTTCTCTCTATTAATTAGCTAGATAACACAATATATGAAACACCTCAATTAACCCGCCAAAACCCCCAACCTCCCCTCCTTTCAAAAAAAAACAAAAACCCCAGCCACTGGAATGCTGACGCGTGGATGCCTTTTGGTCGGTTGGAGCCACCAACCGGGACCAAAGGCCCCCTGACTGGGCTCGGCGCACAGGGCCACGTGGAGGCACATTGGTCCCGGTTCGTGTTTGAACCGGGACTAATGGGTGGAGGTATTAGTAACGACCCATTAGTCCCGGTTCATGAACCGGGACTAAAGGCCCTTAAGAACCGAGACTATTAGGTGTTTTTCTACTAGTGTTACCAGCAACTTTCCAAATCCCTTGTTAGATACACCATTCTCTGCCTTCCATTGCAGCAATTTAAGTGTGGTGCCCAACTTTTTTTCGTCAGCTTCATAATTCGGGTACAACAATTTCTTGTGATCCTCTAACATGCGCTGCAACTTCGTCCTCTCCAGATCACTTGCGCAGTTTCTCTTTGCATCGGCAATGGCCCGACCTAGATCATCAGCGGGCTCATCTGATGCCTCTTCTTTAGCTTCTTCACGCATTGCCGGCTCAGCTTCTTCCCCCATTGTTGTATCATCGTATTCAGGGAACCCATGGCCAGGATAGCCGTCGTCGTCCTCTTCTTCTTCATTGTCTTCCATCATAACCCCTATTTCTCCGTGCTTGGTCCAAACATTATAGTGGGGCATGAAACCGGAATTAAATAGGTGGATGTGAATGGTTTTTTTTGTAGAGTAACTGTGGCCATTCTTATAGCCAGCACATGGACAAGGCATAAAACCATCCGCCCGCTTGTTTGCTCAGCGGCCCGCAGAAAAGTATGCACGCCATTAATGAACTCGGGAGAGCATCGGTCATCATACATCCATTGTCGGCTCATCTTCATTACACAGCACCAAATAGACCAAATTAATACAAGTTCATACATAAAGTTCATACATAAAGTTCATATACAGCACTTAATTAAATGCAACATACAAATAACTCTCTAGCTAAAGAATTTAAATGAACAACAAATGCGATGAACATCGCAACTAAGGTAACAATTCATCCAACAGCATAATGATACCAAGCCACACTATCAATGGCATATTTTCTAATCTTTCTAATCTTCAACCTCATTTTCTCCATCTTGATCTTGTGATCATCAACGACATCGGCAACATGCAACTCCAATTCCATCTTCTCCCCCTCAATTCTTTTCAATTTTTCTTTCAAATACTCGTTTTCTCTTTCAACTAAATTTAACCTCTCGACAATAGGGTCGGTTCGAATTTCCGGTTCACATACCTCCTAGATAAAAATATCTATGTCAACTTGATGGGCATAATTTGTCATCCGAATATACCACATCCGAATCATAACAAGGACGAGGGCCGACGGGGACGAATATCAAAACCATGGCACTATGTATAACAAACAACATACGGGTAAGATAATTATACGAGTAACTATATATCCAAATCACACAAAAATCAATTTGGTAATGTATAACATTCATGAACAAGAGCCTCACCACAAGGTGGTGCCGGCGACGGGCGGTGCGGGCGATCGACGGTGGTTACAACGGAGATTTAGAAGGCACTAAGTAAACCACACCTACATATGCAAACTAAGTGTTATTTTTGACCTCAAATTGCATATAAATCAAATACTAGCAAATATAATTCCTCCCAAATTAATCACTATACAAAGCATTGCAAGAGCTAATCTAGCAATGAGAGTTGAAAGGACAAAGTTGCTAACCTTTGTGATCATTTGAATGGATGGGGGCCTTCAAATCTTGACAAATTTTGGGCAAAATTTGTGAGGAGCTCGAGGGGAAAGGGGAAGAACAGAGGAGAAGTGAGGGGAAAGGGGAAGAACAGAGTGGCTCGGGTGGACGAACGGTTTATGTACGTCGACCTTTAGTATCGGTTCGTTCCACGAACCGGTACTAAAGGTGTTGGACGGGCCCCAGACTGACAACACCCTGCCACCACCCTCTTTATTACCGGTTCGTTGCACGAACCGGTACTGCAGGTTCGCCACGAACCGATACTAATGAGAACGGCCGGCTAGCTGTTGGAACCGGCACTAATGGACACATTAGTGCCGGCTCAAAACCAAACCGGCACTAATGTGTCTCATATTAGGTGCTTTTTCTACTAGTGTATGGGTCCATAGCTAATAGCTAGATGGCTTATTCTCTCTCTTTCATTCTCAATACCATGCTCTCCTTGATTTTCTTGGAGATCTATTCGATGTAATATATATTTCGTGGTGTGTTTGTCGAGATCCGATGAATTGTGTATTTATGACACTAGTGCAGAACCGGGCGATAGCACCGGTTCGTAAGGCCCTTTAGTGCCGGTTCTGTAACCGGCACTAAATGGTGGGGACTAAAGGTCACCCCCTTTAGTACCGGTTCTGCACGAACCGCCGCTAAAGGGCCACCACGTGGCACGTGCCAGCGCCGGGGGCGGGGAGCCCTTTAGTACCGGTTGGTAACACCAACCGGTACTAAATGATTTGGGGGTTTTTGTTTTATTATTTATTTTCCCTTTAATTTTGCGTTTTCCGGGAAAATTTAGAGATTGTTTTCCATTTATTCTCCCTTTCATAAATTATATAATAACTCATCATCATCATCATATTGATATAAAAACTCTTGCATCTCATATCATCACCAACAACAACACTAGCTAATTAATAAGCTGTCAATAGAAATTCGTTGTCAACTATTTTTGAAATAAACAATATCGAAGACATAAATATGGTTGAGGAACACTCACATAATGGTAGAACTGGAGTTGTCTGCAAATTGACCCAGATATCGGTATTATCTTCAATATCATCTTCCGGATGAATATGAAAGGTGATAACCATACCAGGCTCAAATGCATAAGCCTTGCATAGTGCTTGACAAGTTTTGAATTCAAATTAGGTGTAGGTGTCTGCATTGTATAATTTTACGTGGAAAGTATAACCATGCTCGGTCTTCAAGTAAACTCTCTTTACCTCCATAGTTTTCATAGTACTGAAACCTATCTTATCAAATACAAAAATTCTTGCATGGCAGGGGATATACTGGTAGAATAGTAAAAAATTAAAATTATAAGTTGAAGAAAATGAAGCATATGCTTAATTACGAAAAAAGATTTGTCGTTGTGATTTACTGCATTCACTTCAAGGTCTCATCGAGCTTGATGCTGAAGCGCCTACCATCAACTAGGAAATTTCTGTCACACGTGCCGGGCTTGTCTTCGCAGTATTCGCACATAACAAAATCATTCTCGTCGTCAGACATTTCCTATGTTCATATATAGTTGAAACATTAATTGATATAAACACTTACTAGCAGTTCTATTAATTCAACTAGCTCTATTAATTCAACTACTAATCAATTATTAAAAATAAACTAGTTCTAAGCTTCTTACAAAAATCTCATAATTCTAGCATGAATAATAAACTTTTACCATGAATAAGGAAATATGTTAATAACAACTTTATTATTGCCTCTAGGGCATATTTTCATCATCAAGGACGGCCAACGAGTGCGAAGAAGTTAGATCTGGCCAAGCCCGGCCGGGATCCAGCCTCTGCCCGCGCTGACGCCGCTCCCGCAGCCCTGCATCTTACCCGCACTCAAGGCGAAGCAGGCAGCGCGTGCGCGCGCAACCCCGCGGAGAGGGGAACGCCCCGCCGCCACCTTCCCTGGGGCACACGCGGACTTCGCCGGCGGCCCCTCCAGCGACGGCGAAGCGGGACATCAGGAGAGCGGGGGGGACCTCGCGGCGGCGGCGCTAAGGTTACCCCGTGTCGCGTGGGGCGTGAGGGGCAGCAACTACCGAGATCAATAGCTAGCTTTATGTATAGCTTAGAGACTTGGCCACCCTCAACACCTGTATAAATATTGGGTGCAGGAGTAGAAAGCTAACACACCAAGCATATCTCTTCCTTCTATTTGTCCTGCCTTCCTGCCCTTTCCTTATACAAAATTGACGCAGGATGGCAGGCACATTGGATGTTGCCAAGATCTCCGAGTACTTCAGGAACAAGAGCGTGCTCATCACTGGAGCCACGGGCTTTCTTGGCAAGAGTAAGTATGATGGTATATACATGTCTTGTTAATTTCTGAAGAGCAAATCATGCCTCCATCTTGAAGTAGGCTGTGCATTTTGCTCATTTGATACTTCTTGTTCCGGTCGGATGCAGTTCTAGTGGAGAAGATACTGAGGGTGCAGCCAGACGTGAAGAGGATCTACTTGCCGGTGCGGGCGGAAAATGCTGCGGCGGCAAAGCAGCGGGTGGAGAAAGAGGTGCGTGCCTGCTGTCCATGCCCATCTTGTTTCACCGTCATCATCATCATCTCGCCCTCGCTTCACACCAATCTCTCAGTTATTTCTTCCGTTCTTCTGGTCATAATCCCTTTCCGAGCAAGTAGTTGATCATGCAAACCAGCGCCACCACCAAATAGTTGATCATGCCGCAAGGGACACATGGAAGTTGTTTTAAGACACAGAAAATAGCAAGCTGCTCCCAATATTTTGTTGTGTCTCGGCCCTTTCATACATTTGATCGTATTAATTATTTATTTATAGATTAGTGCAATAGTAGCAATATATGTGGCAGATTGGATCGATATAAGTACCCCCAATATGTTCACAAACAATAGTATACTTGTTACAGCTAATACTAAAGCATATACGAACTAGCAAACATATATGTGCTGGAAAAAATTGCAGAGCAGTAGTGGGAACTGTGGGGGCAAGGTTTTAGTTACCGGTCGAAATTTCAAGATTTCCCATGGTTACCGCGTATTTCTGTGTCCCTCGGTAAATCCCCATACCAAACAAAAAATACCAAATTTTTGAATTAACACGCTCAATTTATAATAAAGTACGTAGAATCAAATTAATGTTATGAGAGTTGGTTCTCACGTGTTGGTAGCAACCTATCTCTTGTTTTGAGAGGTCTCTGGTTCAAATGTCCATTCATTCACTTATTTGAATTCAAAATTCAACTATAAAATTCGTTTGGAATATTCTTGATATTTGTCGGTAACAGTGGTAACCATGTTTATCAGTTCCCCTCGGTATAATTGATTCATTCGGTAACCAAAACCTTGGGTGGTGGGACTGGTGGCATTCCTGCTGAACATTGAGACCACTAGCATATCACTGTGCAGTGCAGGATCCTGCATGTACACGCATGTAAGACTTTACGCCACCACACACATGTACATGCCATCCAACACAAGCAGCGGCATTCCGCGAAATAAGCGATCCTGTGTCCGCTTTCAGCCAAAGATCAACGGCAAGACGCAGCAGCAACACGCAACGTGTAGTATGTGATGGTTTTTAATTCATTGGGCAGACGTCCGGACTCCCGCAAATCTCATCAGGTCTTCTTCCGGTTTGCGGGAATTCATACGCACGGCAGGTCCATAGATGTATACGGCATCATATTGGATGGCAGAAAACATCCGTATACTTCTGCTCGGATGTTCGTAGGCAACTTACAGGATACCGTTACCCGCAAAAAGAAAAAAAATACAGGATACCTTTGGAGATGCGTTTAGCTTAGTTTGTGTTGGAGTCGGCTTCCAAGACATTGAATTTGTGCGTTATATAGGTGTGTAGGCTTTTAGTGCAAGTCCGGCTAGAGGATACCATTTAGTATTTTTTTTTTCTACACCAGCAGGCCCACGCAGCCTGTGAAGAGAGGCAAGGGGATCGATAGATCGCTGGCTTCCCCTCAAACAATAAAAGATACTCCCTCCATTTCATAATATAAGAGCGTTTTTTATACTACACTAGTATAAAAAACGCTTTTATATTATGGGACGGAGGTAGTAGATCGCTGGCTAGTTGCTGGTTGTTTCTCCACGCGTGAGCGGAGAGTCGCGACTCTGCGACTACCTCAGGCGAGACGGGCGCGCGCCCGCCCGCTTGCTCTCCGACTCCAGACACGCGTAACCTCGTCTCCGTCATATTTTACATTTTACATTTATTATGTTACTTCATTTGCACCATTAATTATTTGTCACATCATATTTTTCAGGCTATGTGCCATGTATGTTACTGCTTATGAGCATTCTGAAATCTGGACGGTGCTGCGCAATTTAATGATTGTACATAAAGTAAAAATATATTTAATAGAAGAACATTGCATAATCAATACGTGATGTAATAAAACGACATAAATGGCCTATTACATCGTACTAACATCACCAGTTGGTTGGTGGCCTGGTGCTAAGCTCCACGCATGAACACCGATTGACCGATAGGTACATCGTACCAACTTCGTGAGGGCAAGCCCTCCGGAGGGCGTACTCTAGGTACTAGTATCACACGTTTGCCTTAAATGTGAATAGTACATTCTTATTTAAAGAATGCAACAGGCTAGCTAGTACTCCTACTTAGCTAAGGTCAGTGTTCAATTATGTATTCTAATTTATTTGTTTATGTAAATATATTCTTCCTCTTAATATCAGAAATATTTGTTCTCATGAAAAAAGTTTTAAAAATAATATTTACTCAATTGCGGATGTATATTCTTCGACAATGTTTGCACAATTATATTAACACGTAATTTGCATTTTTCCAGAATTTCGACATATTTTCACTAGGAGAATTTCTGGAAAAAAATTACTGAAATAATATATATTTTGGTATAGAGGATGTACCTACGACGTTGTGACCACAATAGTCAGTGAGGTAACCAAAAATATCTTGCAGCATACGCACAAACTTCTAAATTCTTTTCCAAATATCTGAACTTGAAACCATAAATTCCTAGGGCCTCTTTGATGCGGAGGATTCTAAAAATGTGGTAATGAAAAAAAAAACTGTCATGCTCACCACAATCCTACATGATTTTTTATTGTTTATTGCGACATAGGGAAAACAATGAATTCCTTCAAAGAGATCTGAGTAGGTGCTAGAAATCCTATGGAAAGTAGTAAAAAGAATTCCTTAGAAGAATTTCCTATAAGATTCAATCCTATGAATCAAACGACAAACATAGAAAAAATACCTAAGGATTTTAATCTTTAAATTTTATATGAAAATAGTATGAACCAAAGGAGCCCTCAATTCTAAAGTTGACCACCTTGAAGTGCTAGTACCAAATGAGATGATACCTACAGCACAACAAAAAGAATAGATGATACTGTGTTAAATTTTGACTACAAATTTAACTAACAAAATGAAAATGCATGTCATCAAAAATTATACACTGAAATCTATGTTCAAATATGAATACAACAATATAATTTTTATGACATGCATTAACATTTTATTTGTTAATTTTATGATCAAAATTAACACTAAATACGAAGCAGGCCAATAAAACAGAATGGATGTAGTACCCTTGTCCTTTCGCACCCCAGCTAGGCGGGTTATGCTGCAAGTAGAGGTGTACTAGTGTACTGCGTACTGCATGTGCCAGACTCCATTAATTAACCCCGAGTCTAGTCGACCTCAGAGCATCTGCAACAGTTTGTATGTACAATCGTTGGTATAAGTGTCCACGTCAGCAGCCAACAACATATTATACAGGCTCTTCAATGAGGCGTATGTTAAGCAATCAGGCGGGTCCACTAAATGTTGGAGGAATGAACAGACTTACCTAGGAGCTTGTGCCTGAAGCATTGCTTCAGGTTCATACGATTTCATTCTCTCTCTTCTTTTATTATGTGCCATGTCATCAGAACAGTCTAGATGGCAACTTTACCAAGATGATCATACGACTGTTGAAGATGCCCTCATGTGACCAAATCTGCAGGCCTAGGTCCGTCTTGAAGGCATGCGTCGTTTACAGTTGCCCTGATCACCCGGAGTAATTCTACACCCACCTATACAAAGAACATGAAAACATGGGGATTGGATGGATGAGGGAGGACGGACCAACCCCCTTGAAAATCAGTGGGGAGAAAAGAAATAGTTAGGAAGGTTAGGTAGGCTTAAGTAGTTTTTACATAGATGTAGGATTATCAGATCATTCGCCCTGCATTGCAGAACCAACTTATACTGTCTTTTAAGACAAGTTACCGAGGCAACATGTGGCGTACTCCTCCTGCATCATTTTCTTGTTCGAAACAAAATAATTTTGTCAATTCTCTGAAAATTTTATTTGTCGAAACAAAGAAAAGCAAGCAAGAAACATGTACTTGACCATATTAGTTTTTTCTGATAAAGGGTGCTTTTATTATCTCAAAAAGTAGCATCAAGGGGATACAAACATGATCGATAACACCCGGCCTCTGTATAATTAGGATGCACACAACCAAACACTAAAGTGTGACAATAAGAAAGGAAAAAAACCCGAAAACCTGGCAACAACAGAGTCCTATAGCTGACACTATGCCTATGTCGAAAAGAATGATGTACCGATCTGGAGATTATGCTATCACCCATATCAATTAAAAACTTTCGTAGACACCTGCTCCAATCGTATACACATCGCTTTGAACGGTGATCGATACTCCGCTTGTTGTAATGTAGACCACGTATTATGTGATGAGGGGTAACCTGGAACTGCGTGCAGGTGCTAGGTAAGGAGTTGTTCGGGCTGCTGCGTGAGCAGCACGGCGCCGGGTTCGACGTCTTCGTCGCGGAGAAGGTGGTGGCGCTGGCCGGTGACGTCACGTGCGAGAGCTTCGGCGTCGAAGCTGAGATGCTACGGGAGCTCCGGCTCACGGACGAGCTCAACGTGATTGTCAACGGCGCCGCCACAACAAACTTCTACGAAAGGTATCATCAACAGAACGTGACTTTATATGTGCAGCGCCATTTTCTTATCAGTGATTGGTTACAGAAAAAACGGAGCGTACTTTGTGTGTGGTCAGGTACGACGTGGCCCTAGACGTGAACGTGGTGGCGGTGAAGCACATGTGCAACTTTGCCAGGAGGTGCCCCAACCTCGAGGTGCTCCTCCATGTTTCCACGGCCTACGTGGCCGGCGAGAAGCAGGGGCTAGTCCCAGAGAGGCCGTTCTGGGACGGTGAGACACTGAGGAATGGGACCCACCTCGATATCGATGCCGAGCTAAGGCTGCCCAGGGATCTGAGGAATCAGATGGAGGTCGACGTAGACATGGACTCGTCGCCCAAGGCCCGTAGGAAAGCCATGAAGGACCTCGGCCTCACAAGGTTAGGGATCTTCCCGAAAAGGTCAAAGTTTCTTCAGTGTTGATGCTGAAACTGAATTTCAGACTTGGAACTAATGTATATGCTGTGCTGAGGGTCTTTGGAACATAGGGGCCAAAGCACCTGAATTGGAAAAACTATTTAAAAAAAAATGAAACAGCGTCGACAATTATTGAAACATTATTTATAACAAATATGCCCTAGCGTAGTACTCATAGGAAACGTTCCGTGGAAAATTGACTGAGGGCATTCTCGGCAAAAAAAAATTGCAAGTCCGAAAAATGTGAATAGTAATGTCAGAATACCATGGTAAGCCATGCCTTAACGAAACTTGTCATGTATATATATAAGCGTGATTGTAGAATAGCTTTTTCTACAACTCTAGTAACGCTCTATGCAAAATGTAGTCAAACAGTCTACAAAATCTAGTAATTCGGCAAATAATTTTTTTATTATCCATGTTTTTAATTTATTACAGTTTTTTACAAAAATTACTATATTTTGTATACTCTGTCACTACATTTTATATGTATCATTACTCAGGTGTAGAATAAGCTATTCTACACTCACACTTATATATATACATGACAAGTTTGTATATGATAGTTACCACCACTTAAAGTTTGTATGTTATATATAATCTATGAAATCAGAGAGTATGTGCCCATAGTATGTAGTACATATAAATGTTTTAGGTGGTATATATACTACTTTTTATCTAGTATGTATCGTATTTTGGGATGCTCTTTTTGCGCACAAATATGTATGTTTTTCAAAAATATAATTAAAACCATGAACCAAGTTGCAATTTTTTTATGTAACTCACTTTGAAGTATCTTATACTCCCTCCATCCCAAAATAAGTGTCTCAACTTTGTACTAGTTCTAGTATAAATTTGTACTAAGTTCAAGACTCTTATTTTGGGATGGAGAGAGTATATAATATATCTACATAATTAGAATGATATCATGTTGTAGTTTCCGATGTTGTGATCGTCGTCTTTATTTTTCTTATTCCAAAAGGGCAAGGCACTTTGGGTGGCCCAACACGTACGTGTTCACTAAGTCCATGGGGGAGATGATGTTGGGCCAGATGATGCGAGAGGGCAATGTGCCATTCGTTATCATCCGACCCAGCATTATCACCAGCGTCCAGAACGACCCACTGCCAGGGTGGATAGAAGGCGCCAGGTTCGCTCAATTTCAAACACAAATATCAAATTTGCTTGAGCTCCAAAACATGAGTTTGATGCAAGTTTGGAACTTCAAAATTCAACCATGCAGGACAATAGACGCGATCCTGATTGGGTACGCGAAGCAGAGCCTATCGTGCTTTCTGGCCGACCTCGACCTCACCATGGACGTGGTAATTCCGTACTACTTCCTTCGTTAATGAGCAGTAGTATATTATCTGTGAAACTGACCCGACCCTAGTTAGGAGTACACACACAAAAAAGTAGTATATGTACATAGTTAGATGAATATTATGCACCTAAGTCGATCATATGTGAAATGGCATAGATGCCGGGGGACATGGTGGTGAATGCAATCATGGCGGCGATGGTTGCCCACGCCTCCTCTTTGCGGTCGTCGGAGTTGAAGAAGCCACAGCAGCATCCTCACTCGTTCCCAGTGGAACCGTTCGTGTACCACGTGACCTCGTCGATGCGGCACCCGGTGCCGTACGGGGTGCTGTACCGGACAGGGATCCGATACTTTGAAAAGCACCCGCGGGTTGGTCCTGACGGCTGCGCCGTGCGCACGCGCAAGGTTCGATTCCTCGGCAGCATCGCGGCGTTCCACCTCTTTATGGTGCTCAAGCACCGGCTCCCACTTGAACTCCTCGGCCTGCTCTCACTCCTCTGTGGCGGCCACTTCGGCCTCGCGGCCCTGTACCACGACCTCGCCCGCAATTACAGGTGTAGTCTAAAATCTAATTCTTTGCCGTTGTATCATTTTGATGTTCAACCGTTGGCTACTCAACATGCTATCATGTAGGTTCGTGATGCAGCTTGTGGACCTGTATGGGCCCTTCTCACTCTTCCAGGGCTTCTTCGACGACGTCAACCTCAACAGGCTCAGGCTAGCTATGGCTGACGATCCCGCCGGTGCCGGTGGATTGTTCAACTTTGACCCAAAGACGGTTGACTGGGACGACTACTTCTACAGGGTCCACATCCCTGGGGTCATGAAGTATATCCTCAAGTGATGGTCCATTTGCATCGATCTGCTTCCGTACGTTCTGAAATAATGGAGAAAATAAAATGGATGCTGACATGTGCATCCCTACGTAACTTGTGTTGTGTAACCTCCTTGGGTCCTCGTGTATTATTGGCTGAGTACTGATTGTATTGTCGTTGAAAAATAATTTAACCAGACTATGAGTATAATTAAGATGAAATTACCTGCATTATGGCTGGGGTCACTACCGGAATCTAGGTAACTGCCGACGGCAAAATATATGTCGACGGCTCTTTGTGGAGTCCGTCGGCATATCTGGACATATGCTGACGGCCAATTAAAAGCCGTTGGCAAACAATGGTCGTCGACAACATGGGAGATATGTCGACGGCTTTCGACGGCATATCCTCTACCGTCGGCAAGTATTAATCTATGCCGAGGGTGACCGTCGGCAAAACCTAGGCCGTCGGCATTGGCTGACGCAGTTAGATCTATGCCGATGGCCCAGACCGTGGCCATCGGCAAAGTTATTTTTGTCTATTATCTTTTCTTTTTACATCCTTTTGTGTTTTTTAAAGAACTTTTTATAAAGTCTGAATTTTATTAATTCAAATCTGACTTATTTAAAGTTAAACATAAAATAATTATACAAGAATTTCGGGTAAAAAAAATTCATGGATTATGAATATCCACTTTTGCTTCTGTTTTTGAATATATTAAAAATGCGACCTGTTGTACTTTTGCAAATAGGTCTTTTACTTTGTCAAAATCACAAGTAATTCATACTTGCATCAATTTTGATAAACTTTTATGTTTCTGGATCAGAATCTTGAAAGGTTGATGTTGGTATGCTGTTCTTTCAAATTTGAACAAACTAAAACCATGTTTGTTGCAAATATTCAGAAAACCCCCTCTTGTTTTGACTTGTTTGTATAATTTTATTCCTTGGCCAAATGAGGCAATTTTTATATCTATTTGCATCAGAAAGCCTCAAGGATTTCAGAAATAATACGTTTACGCATGCGCTACCACTCGCGAAGTGTCGACACTTAGATGGGGTAAACTTCCACCACGCGTAATCCGGAGGGAATAACTTTGATCTTGGGGCCAAATGTGTTTTTCCATGTGTCTGTGACCTGACCCAACACAATGAAGAAGAAAGTTCCATTGTTCTCCTTCTTTTCGAAGCTGGACAAAGGGATAGATTTGCAACTTAAAGGACTAGACTTGTCGGTCAAACAGGTTAGGGTTCTGTCGCTCTGGGGTCTTCGGAGGTTAATAATCCCACCAAAACATGCATTGTTTCCTAACACAGGTATAGCTGTGGTGGGCTGTTTAAATGTCCAATACCCAGCTCTCGAGTCTGACCGCTTCTCGGACAGCAATAATACTCAAGAAATATTCCACACTTAGAGGGGGAAATTGCCACCACGGGTAACCCGGGGGGAATCTTGTGATACCTTGGGATCAAACTTTGTTTTCCATGTTGTTATGTACTATGACAACGCAAGAAAGTAGAGAAGTTCATCGGTCAACTACTGTCCGACGCTAGTCAAAGGGTTAGACTTGGTGGTCAAATGGGTCAGGATTCGATCGCTCACTAGTAGAAAAAGGGCATAATGTGAAGCACATTAGTCCCAGTTTGTAACAAAACTGGCACTAATGTGATCATTAGTGTCGGTCTCAACGGCTAGGGGGGCGGAGATCATTAGTACCGGTCCGTGGCGAACCTTTAGTACCGGTTCGTGGCACGAACCGGTACTAAAGAGGTTGTTGCAGTCTGTGGTCAGGCTGGGGCCCCACCTGCACCTTTAGTACCGGTTCATGCCACAAACCGGTACTAGAGGATTCTACTTGATTCATCCTGCAGCGGTTTTTTAGTTCCACCTCGCTCCGCTAACAGAATTTTTACCACCTTAAATATGTTACTTCTTAAACTATCACAACCACTTGGTCTTCACTGAACTCTATGGGTAGAATCCGTGGCCACAATATGAGTCTTCTCCGGTTTCAAAAAACTGGTGAGGACTCATATTGTCAATTCAGATTGTACACAAAAAGATCATTGATGATTAATGTATTTTTGATGTACTTCTCTGTAGCAGTAGCGCGTTTTGGCTGAAAAGCGGTACAGATCAATGTATTTTTACGTATATGTCGGGGAAGCTGATCCACGAACACCTATGGGGACCGGCGGACCGAGCCCCCTTTCGGTTCGGCGGGGGGGCGGAGATCGCACGAAGAGCGGATCGAGGCGAAGCACACGAGCAGTTTACCCAGCTTCGGAGCTCTCCGGAGAGATAATACTCCCACTGCTGCTTGTTTGGTTGTATTCCGTTCTTGCTCGGGAGCGTTGAATGCTAAAGTGCACTCAAGCTGCTAACGAGACCGAGCGTGAGAGTTTTCTGGCTTCGAACCCAACCAACCCCCTTCTACGTTGCGCATGGGCCTCCTTTTATATGCTCAAGCGGTCACCGACAGGTGGCAACGCAGAGAAGGGTAAAAATGGAAAAGGAGTTGCGGTTGGTACAGCTACCTGAACAGTGTATCCTACCTAACCCTGATGGCAGGGGACAAAGGCATTGAATGCCCGCCTGCGTCGCCCGAATAGTGTAAAAAGGACCGTCAGGGACGCCACCGCTTGCCACGATGGTAATCTTGTCAGCTTCGCTCGCCACCTCGCACCGCTGGCTGCACAGACTCTTGCCACGCGCGCCTGGAAAGGCCCCAGGGCGACACGTTGGTGGATGTGCTGGAGCGCGGGTACAGAGTGGTAGCTTGTCGCGGCAAGCGTCTTGCCGCGGTCGTTGTCTTGTCGCGCCCGGAAGCTTGTCACTCATCGGGCCTTGCCGGGACGCATGGTGCGTCGCGGCAAGTTCCTTGCGATTCCTTGGTTGGCCCTCCCAGCAAGCTCCTCTTGCCGGGGCCTTGTCTCCTTGGCTTAAATACTTTGTTCTTGAATGGCTCCAAAGGAACCACGGAGGACCTTGGCGGTCACCCGGCAAGCCTTGCCGCGGGGCGCTGCAACTGCCCGTGCACAAGTTCGGGATACTAGGGTACCCCTACTCTAGTACACCGACAGGATCCCCCGGGCCTGGGCCACGCACGGTGCCGAGCGCTGTTGGGCCAGGCCCAAAACAGGGCACGGGCACGCGCGGCCTGGGTTACGCCGTATCTTACTCCGTATCCACCGCGCCCTCCCCCAACGGCACGTGTCGAATGCGGCATCATGAGAGAGATCGTGGGTGGTTTCTTTATTCGGAAGGGCGAAACATCCGCCCCCTCCCTCTTTATAAGCAGGGGAAACAGGGGCAGTTCGCCCATCTCGCCGGTTGTTACTCCAACTTCACGAATCTCCGCCGCTCCCCCCTTCTTCCCGAAGCTGAAAGAGAGCAGCGCTCCGCCCCCCATTGCCACCAGCACCACCAACGCCATCGATCTCCCCCACCACTTCCGCCATGGCTCCGAAAGCCGACAAGGGGAAGGGCGTGAAATCGGTCGAGGCATAGCAGCTCGCGGCGCTGCGAAAGGAGCGGGCCATCTTCCCCCCTCAGCTTGGCGCGAAGGAGCTGAGGGAGTACTACTACCTCTTCTGGTCGACGGAGACGCGAGCGCATCAGCGCACGAAGGTACTCCCGGCCGCCGCTTCGGAACTAGCTCCAAACGGGTATCCCTTCTTTGCGCTGTTCTTCTACTACGGGCTCTGCCCGCCCTTCTCTGAATTCTTCTGTGACATCATGAACACCTACGGGTTCCGCCTCCTTGACTTCACCCCCAACGTTGTTCTGACCATGGCAGTTTTCGCACATCTGTGCGAAAACTTTGTCAGAGTCCATCCAAACGTAGCCCTTTTCTACCACTTCTTTATGCCCCGGGTTGAAAGAGGGGAGCCTCTTGCCGGCGGGATCGCTTGGATCTCGAGAGTCGGCAAGAAGGAAGCTTATCTGGAGGGAGAGCTCCGCAGCAAGTGGGAGGAATGGAGAGCAGAGTGGTGTTGGATTGTCGAGGAGAACCCGCAGCCATTTACTGCCCTGCGCCAAGCCCCAATAGTACGCGACAACGATTGGAGCAACGTGGCCCCGGAAGATGATAGGCTGAAGATTGCCGTCACCCGGATCCTTCGCCTCAGGCTTGCCGGGCTCACCGTAGGTGCCGTTGGCACAGACTTTCTTCGCCGCCGCATCGCCCCCCTCCAGGAGAGGAGGAGACCCGCCTGGGAGTTCCAGAACTCGGCGGATATCATGAGGCTGCGCCCAGGCCTTAACTTCAACTTCACGGTCTTGGAACTGGATGGGATGCTCCTGGAGCTGTTCAAGCGCGATCCTCAACATCCATTCATGTTGCCGAGGAGTGTCGTTCCGTTGTGCAACAATTCTTCGCTCGACCGCATCCGCGCAATGATGCCGCTGTGCGACTCGCACGGAATCATCCCAACTTGGCAAGAGCCTGCGGACGACGTCGTGCGGGATTTCTTTGACGGCTTGGTTGAAGTGTCGGTCCGCTCCGACGAGCAGAAGAGCCTCACCCGGGACACCACCGATGATGAGATGCAGCGCATCGCCACCAGGCTGGAAGAGGCGGCAGCAGCCGTTGCCGCGGGCGAGTTTGGATTCACCGTGGAGGAGGCAGAGGCAGCAGAGGCAGCAAACCTTGCCGAGCGAGAGGAGTTCGCCGCGAGAAAGAGCTTGCCGGGCCTGAAGCTGAGCCAAGCGAGCCCGGCGAGGGAGAGCCAGTTGGGCCCGAACCTTCAGACAGCTTGCCGCAGGCGGAGCCCCCAGCCCCGCCAAGAAGGCGTCTCCACAAGGCCGCGGACGTAGTGGGGCGGCAGACGGGTGAACAGCCGCCGAGCCGCGCGACACGCTCTACCGCGGCAAGCACTGTTGCCGCGGGAGCGCCTCATGCCGCTGCGGCAACTGGAGCGGGGTCTTCCCGGTCCACCACTACTGCCCCTGCCAAATGGGCAAGGGAACCTAATCCTCCGCCTCGTCGCACCGGAGGTGAGCCGGACTTCGACCTCTCCGCGCTCAG